CCATCAGTCCGAACAGGCCGGCCACGCGCACGATGACCGACATCATCTTCTCGAGACTCTCCGGCGAGCGCGAGACGATGGCCGCGTCGTCAGCGTAGAGCATGGCCCACAAGGCCTCCGCGTCCGTCACCACCGTCGTCTTCTTCCCCGCCGACCTGCCCTTCTTGCCCGTGTACTCCACTTGTGTCCCGATCTTGACCATGTCCGCCGTCACCTTGGGGTCCTAGTCGAACTCGGCCACGGCAACCATGAGCATCGCGGCAAAGAACAAGTTGAACAGCAGCGGGGCCAGGTTGCATCCCTGTCGGAGGCCTTGGCCCACGTCACACCATTCCGAGTACTGCCCGTCGTCCGTTCGGACGCGCGCCCTCATGCCCTCGTGGAAGTGGCGTATGGGTTGCGCGATATTTGTTGGATAGTGAAATTTGTTGTGTCTGTTGAAACCCCATTCCCGAGGAATCGTCATGCACATCCGGGATAAGAACGTATGGAGGTCGTAGAACATATTTTCCACTTGGTGCTTTTTTCAGAAGTTTTTGTCTGGCTCTTTCCCGAGGGATTTTTGCCGCACTACATCGTTCGAGACTCGTGGTGACTTGACGTGACATTTCTGCTCAACCTCCCGGCGTGGGTGGCTCTCCTGAAACTACTGCTATGCATAACAGCTTCGGAAAGCGGAGGCCATCGAAAAAACGAGCGAGCGGGACATCGAGGACTACAGCAACCAGCGGGAACAGATCGAGGTGCGGAATCCAGCTCAACCAGTCTAGGCCAAGGGGCGAACCCAACTTATTCATGAAGAGAGACATATCGGCATATCGCGCGTTTCCCGCCAATCAACCACTTTCCGAAACATGCCGACATCATTTGTTTTGGATGCGATTTCCGGGGGTAGCAGTAGTGACTTATCGTGTTGTGCGGAAGGGGCGTCTTGTTTTTGTTTCCATGAGGGAACCAAGAGCGTGCAGACCTCGAGGCGACGGAAGCGGTGACATTGCTTTCTTAAGTGTCTCATTGGTAACACGTAGAGTGAGAGGTGAAGCCACCCAGCCTACGTAGTATATACCTCAACTTGTTTCACAAGTCTTCGGCTACGTTGAGTACACAAGAGAACGGCACATGCGGGGGAGGAGAAAGAATTAATCAAACTTATCCCGTGTTGTTCGCAATAACTTATTGCACGTCCTACAGGAGAGCATTAAGGGCGTTCAGGAGGAGATCGGAGCACTGAAGGAGGGCCTGGTGGTAGAGCGTAAGAAGAGGCACAACAAGGAGGTGTACGAGGAGGCGTGCAAGGACATCAACAACTACCCTCCGCACAGGGCGACGAAGGCAAGTTTTGCCGCTATGCGACCGCCTTGTCGCCGTCGGGAATCGACTTCTGCCTTGTTGTACCCCATTTATCCCTCACGTGACCGCTATAACGAAAACTGCCATTTATCCCTCACGTGACCGCTATAACGAAAACTGCTGCGGCTGCATCCGAGCACTGGCACTACTGAAAAATACAGTGCTGTACAATCGCTTCGTTGGTTACTGTACCATGACGAGAAGTTCTTCGTTAGTTCTGGAGGCTCGCTGTCGGGTCAGCGCAAACATGTTGATCAAGAACTGCCTGCCTTTCGGCCTACCGTATCGAACAACGAGTGTTTGGGTACATGTCCGCTGCTGTTTTTATTGTGCTTCAGCTGGCCATCGAGAAGCTCGAGCAGGAGCTCGTGTTGCTGAACGAGAGGCGAAAGGCGGTGCAGGCGGTGCAGAAACTGAAGCACAAGCAGATTGCGCTCCTCTTGCAGTCGCTGGCCGACATTCAGGCCACGGTCGAAGAGGTGCGAACGAAAATTATACCGGCTGTTGTCGTCGTCGTCGTTGTTTGTTTGTGCTTTCCTGCGATGACGTCTTGATGTTGTTCACTTACGCTCGTGACAAGACTGTAGCGTACGGTCAACTGTAAAGCCACAAGAAGAATGGCCGACCGACGGCAGCTGCCTCTAACTGGTCTAACGCGACAAGAGAAGTCCAGGAACAGCCTATTATGGTGCCCGTGACATCCACAAGCCACCGTCAACGAGTTGCGTATGCATGATACCTCACGATGTGTGCGATGTCACACACCGCGTGTACGAAATCATTTCCAATACCTATTAATGTCCCGCTCAATTTGAGGCAGCACGCACTGATACTGCGCTATCCGGCATCCGACGTCACACCTTCCCGTACGATATCCTACACTATAGCAGTGCCGACATTTGTGAGGCCAATACGGGTGCCTGGATAAAAAGAGTAACCTTCCCCAACGAATTGAGGGGAACCAAAATAATCGTGAGAAGCTCTCGTCAGCAATGTTCGAATGAGCCCATGGGTAGCACCCGATTCGTGTTGTACGGAAAGTTATCCCGCAAATATCGTTTCGGGAGAAGGCACTCCACCCCACAAGAATCGCCGTATCTCAACAATTACGACAATTCGGGCGCAAAAAATACAGTTGTGGACGGTTAATCTTTCAAAACTATCACTCACGAACGCGTCGGGACAAAAGTGCTAATATTACAAATTTTGGGAAACTGTGGGAGGTCAAGGTCTCTAGTTCGAAACTGTCGTCCTGTCTTCGTCGTCTTTTTCTCCGTTTTTTATCTATTTTGTGAAGTATTTTTCCCATGTGTTTATCTTGCAAAATGCATGCAATTTTCTTCGACCTCACAAAAAAATGTCGTCACCGGGTCTTTTCGGTGCCATCACAGGCAGTACGTACGTGAAATGTCGAAATCCATGACTGTAGCCAAACGTCATGACCGGTCAACCATTACCGGTCTTACAAATCCCGGCACTGTAACTATCATACCGCACCACATCGTACAGTGCTATGCCATGCCACGCCATGTCCTGCCGTACATGATACGATGCGACATCAATCATACCCCAAAGGGCGAGGTGGAGGAGCCGACGGTGGGTGCCCTGGAGCTAGTTGGCCTGGACGAGGAGTTGGTAGTGGATGGCACCGCAGAAGAAGGGGACGGGGACAATGGAGACGCGGAAGAGGGCGATGACGACGGCAACGACGACGACGGAGAGGTGGGGGGTCTTTTTTCCCTCTTGCACGCCAGCTGGAGTGTTCATGACAATAACCTTCGGCCGATCTTTTGTTGTAGCGGTGGTGATGCGCATGTAGCAGTTGAACGAAAATTGTCAGGATGCGGAGAGGGTGAAACGGGGAGCTGGAAGGGTCGCGGGTGTGGAAAAATCGTGTGCACTCTTTGCCGGGTCTACGTTGGTCGTGTGATTTTGAGTGCTCCAATACTCTGGTCTTCACAAGAAACTGTTTCGTTGTCAGACAGGTGTACTCGTAGTCGACCTATTGACATTCTCTGTAGCCTAGACAGGTGTGAAACTGTCAAGTCTAGAACGAATCTGGGGTCTTAACCATATTGCCGACGCACTAAACTGACATGAATTTCTCCGTTGCTCTCTACTGCACACTACTGCGGTAGGAATAGTTTCTGCCTAACAATTCCGAGGCAACCTGGAAGGCAAAAGAGAGCATCAAATAACTAAGCATATTTTGATCACTAGCAGAACTACAGTGATCATGCCAGTACAAGCTGGGCCAGCCAAGAAACGTACAAAATGGTTGAAAGCGATTTACACCACGGTTTTTACGAATTCGAACCTGAAATTTTGACATGTGGTTGGCACTAGTTTGGCGAAGACCTTGACTGGCCGCACCTTGATTTATTTTTATTTTTTTTCACGAATTAGCCCTATTTAAGGAAAAATGGAAATCCTTGTTGTGCGTAGGAGGAACAAAAAATAAATAAATAAAGGTGCGTCTGGTCAAGGTCTTCGTGATACAACAGCCGACCACACCTCAAAATTTCAGATTCCAACTCGTTAAAACCGTGATGTAATTGCGATAACCTCACACTTCCTTGGCTATCTTGTGTTTGTGTCGGATTCTGTACGAGGCCATATCTCTTGGTAGAAGATGATTTGAGCCTTGTAACAATCATCATTTTTCTCGCACTGCTCCCAGGTAAGTGCACACCAAGTTTCAGCTTATTCGGTGTTACTTTTTTCATTCTGATTTCAGTACCGGAAGTATCCCCCCCCTGCGCCGCCAACTGATGTTAGTACCTTAATCAACTCAGATTCGGAAATTCTGGCACCTGCGCTTCCCATACTGTCTCATGAGAGCAGCCAAAAATATTCAAGCCCAAATTCTTGGAAACGACAGAATGAGACTCCAACGAACGAAAGTGAGCTTTTCGCCTGGCCCACCTTGTAGTCGGTTGTTTTCTTATGGCGGTGCTGGCTTCCCTTCGAGGATCGTCACCATTGGTCGGCGAGTGTACAGCACACGATATGCACCCATGCAATCATAATTTGCCTACAATTTCCGAGGCTCTCATTGATGTTGCTATTCTTTGGGGTAAATCCCCTCTCGGAATATCCACCTCTTATAGTGCCACTTGTATCCCCTGCGACGATATATCCGACGCTTAACCAATTGGAAGTGTTACGCTTGGGTAGTCGAATAGAAACCCCAGTGGACTTGGCACATCGCGAAATATTTCCAACAACCCGAAACAACACGACGTTCTGGGTGCACCGGGATTCAGTTGCTTCTCAACAAGGGAACGTACGACAAATGGATGGAACCAGCGACACACAACACGACGTTCTGGGTGCACCGGATTTCTGTTGCTTCTCAATCAACAAGGCCAGACGTACGATTAATGGTAAATGGAAACAGCGTACACAGTACAACATTGGATCATCAAGGCACAATGAACACCAACAGAACCACCCATATTTTCGTGTTTATTGAGACACTGCAGACCAACGTACTGCGTCTTTTTTGTCCTGGCCAGGCGGAGGAAGAGGGCGAGCGGCGACGTGGCCGAAAACGCTCTCCGTCGGCCGAGAGCGACGAAGTCGAAAGGGTCGCCGTCGGAACAAATGGCGAGGTACCGCCCGGCGAAGACGAAGAGATGACGGACGCAGGCCCCGCCTAGTTCGTTCTCCGGCGTACTGGAGGGTCAGAGTTGTGTGTTTAGTGGACGCCAGCCTTGTCGTTTCTCTCTGGATTGGTTTCGAGGCTCAGCAATCCCAAAAGAAGTGTGTGCTCTTTTCAGACGACATTTCCGAAAGGGCACCCGGCACCTGTGATGCCAGGTGTGCTGGGAGGGCTGGGCAGCCGCGAAGGAGTGCATTCGTCTACGTTATCTAAGCGACGGCAGCGGAAAGCGATTCCTGTTACATCGGAAAAATCGATCCCTCGAACTGCTTCGTAGAGGAATCTGAGAAATTAGATAGTGTCTAGTCGAGTCAACGCGGGAGAACAGATCAAGGTACAACTCATTTTTCTGCCCATAAAACTCGTTTTTAGCATCGCTCTTCTCTTCCGGCACGATGCCGGTGCAACTGGAACAGAGTCGTCGTTGCTTTCGCTCGCGTGCTGGCTTCCAATCGAGTGGACTGCCTGGGGTAGTGAACTAGGGAGTTGAGCCCATTGCCCAACTCGGAATTTGAGTCGCAAACAAATTTTGGACGCAGTATTTTACAGGGTGTCCACACGACTCGAAATTGAATATGAGCAGGACGTCTTCGACCCTATCCGTCCAACACCCAATTCTTGCTACTCTCTAGAGAGAGAGAAAAGGTCCCCGCAGTTTTCTGATTGGTCAATTTTTTTGAAAGGAAATTTCCTGTGGACGAAAATTCCATGGTCGACCGATGACGTCAGCCACGGTTGTGAGGTCGCCTTTTAATTTTCGGGAAAACTCGAAAAATCCAAATTCGCCGTGATTGATGATTGGTCTGATTGATGACGCCCGACTTCCATGGTNCCTTTTCTTGTGATTTTTTTTGCCGCACCCACACGACGGACGGACGGTCTTTGAAAAAAAAAGAGAGCTGCGACAAATCTTGACGGGAAACAATCGTCTCCAGGAAACACCCACACGCTCACAACTACATCCTTCGCTCACAGGAGAAGAGACATTTTCTACAATACAATCGCGTCTTCACCACACGGAGTAATCGAGAGACAGATATATTATTGTCATCAGTCAACGGTGCCACCACCGTGGTTGACGCTTCGTAATGCACACACAGGCACAAATCTTAACGGGAAACGATGGCCGCTCGAAAACAGCCACACGCTCATTGCTCCACCTCCCTCCCTCTCCCTCCCGGACGGGGGAATAACTCTTTCGCGCTTCCATTGAACACCCACTAAAATAACAGCTCTCACGAACATCTCAGGTCATCAGGTCGGTGTCACCAGCAGCGACGTGGTTGACGGTTCGGGTCGACACAGCGAGAAAAAAAAGGTTTATAACGTCAAAGAGAAGATGCCACGTCGTCCACGATTGCTGCTGTGTCACCAGCTGCTACCATCAGCGACCGGTGGTGCTACAATTGAGCAGGATGGACATTGCCGAGATCGGAGAGTAAATTCTTGGAGATCTTCCAAATGCAAGTTTGGCCCGTGGCAGAGAATGCCACCAGGTGGAGGCTCTTTGTTTGTCTTGACGGGAACACCCCACTCTTCTTCGTGGAGCAGTCCAAAGGGGCGGACGGACGTGATCACCAAGGACATCCGAGACGTGAAGCGTTCTGCCTGTACAAAGGGTGGCCGTAACGGTTCCAGATCGGCTTTCGTCCAGTGGAAGGGAGGGGGCAACGACTGATAGAACAGAGCATCAGGGTAGAATCCGGCAAAGAACGGGTGTTCCACGTATCATCTGCAGACTTAGGCGAAGAGGCGAGAATACGACGATGTCTCCTGAACAACCACAGAGCACGCGTTTTCGTTTTTCTTCCCTTGGCCAACACTCCTCTTTGTGCACCGCAGGCTCTGTCCATTCGACCGGCCGTGGAAATGTTCGTGCAGTAGTCATGAGAGCTCTTTTTCGCAGCGTGCCTCTCGATGCGATCATGTAGACGGCTCTTCTTCTTGTGCGGATGTGTCACGATGTGAAATGTCCCCGTCGAAGGGCGACATGCCGTTCTCGTGTGGCCTACATATCCGGCAACGAGGAGGGCAAAAATGTTGCCACTCCTAGCAAGAAGATCTTCAACTCATGCGCTCGCAGTCATTAAACAGGGTTGCCTACCGGCCCTCGAGTACAGCCTTCCACAATGCTGCTGCTCCCGTCTCAGAAACGCCGCCACATTTTTTGAAAACCCAATTTCAAGACCGACCAATAAGCAGGGACCAATCCACCCAACCTCACTCTCGCTTTTCGCCAGGCGGTCAACAGCGTCGACCACCAACGTTGCCATCCATCCCCAACCATCTACCTCCTCGCGTGTCTCAAGTTCGTGCGTACCGCCTGCGCCAGCCATAGAAGTGGAGCGAAGAACATCGTAACCCGTTTCATCGACCGAAGTTCCTTGCCGGCCGGCCACGTTCTTCGGCTACGAGGGTGTTACCGGCAGCGCCACGGGCCAGAAGCTTATCACACACGAGCTAACGACGCGTGGAGTCGAAGCATCGACCTCACGTGCCCCGGCATTCTCCTGTTTGCGTGAAGGATATCACTGGTGATCGACTTCGTGTCGTCGTGGGAGAATCTCTCTGTGCGAAGCCATGGATGCGAAGGTGACGCCAAAAAAGCGACCTATCGCCACCTGAGGTTGCAGGAACAATCATCTCGCCCGTTCCCCGTCCCCAGCCGCCATGTTTGAGAGCTACCTGGTAGCGATTAGACTTGCGAATACGGCCTTCCCCAGCCAGTCACAGTCTCGTGTGCACGCCTTGATCTGGGTGTGGGTTCCTCCCCCCGTTGAACCAGCATTAATAATGTGGGTTTGAATGCTTCGCCCTCTGACCGCTTGGGCTTATTCAACTCGAACGACACAGGTATGTCCCTGTCGAGCAAACAGGAGGTGATTGCTAAGCCACCAAGAATGCTGAAGGACAATGAATGGCAGATCGCTGCAGACATCATAGAGGGCAAAACAGAGGAAGTGCACCACCTCAACAGAGGAAGTGCACCACCCTTTCAAGGCATGTTGGATAAAATGTTCGTTCGATCACCTCGCCGCTGTATCGACTTTCCAGAGCTGCCCGGTCACACCCACTCGAACGCGGGAAACATCAGCGTCCGGTCGGGGAATTCTCACCACCCAGCACCACAACAGCCCGGCGCCCACTTCGCCTCGGGAGGTAAACCGTGAATCTACTGTGAATCTATCATTGTTTCCCGAAAATCACACTGTCTGTATTCCGCGAAAACAGGTTTAGGCTCTAAGATTGGGAAAGCCTGTTTGCGAGGATGATAGTGTTCCAGAGTACGCAGCAGTATCAAGCGCCGATGAACGAATTCGCTGATACGAGCAGTAATGCCTCCATTGTTTTCGATTTCACCCAGTGATCGCGGACACCCCCCCCTGCTTCACTCACACACACACACTCCACACATACCCTCCCGTCAGACACGACCCTACGATGACCATCGCTTATAGCTTCAAGTCTACATTGGAGGTCAGAAGGTGTTGCCATACACGAAAACCCGTATCTCGGTACATGCCATGTTTATCGTTCCACTGTTTGGAGACCGATCTGTCTCACTCTTTCATGATTAGGAGAACGATGTCCACCCTACACCCGCGAAATCTCCTGGGAAGACGAGCAGGGAGCCCAGCTTCAGCGACAACGGCGACAGCAGGGTGAGTATGAGATGCGAGGGTAAGGGGGGTAGCCGCCTCACCTGTAGAGTCTCCGTGTAGAGGTTTGAAACCTCCAAAATAAAATAATGTCCCCGGCTCAGAAAGGAAGACATTCCTTGCCTTCTCTGGATGAACTCGGGCGTTCTCGTGTTCTTTTTTCACTCGTGGCCGCGCCTGCGTATGTATCAATACCTCCCACACGTTTCTTACAGGATTGGACACCAACAAAAGTGCCGAGCGAGATCAACAAGGGCCTGGCCTTCTTCCCGGGTGCGGTGAGCGTGCAGACGTTCAGCGAAGGGGAGCGCGAACACATCGAGTCCCGACTGGTGTTCCAGCGAGCATATGACAGCGTGGACATCATCTCCAACGGGAGGCCCGTCGAGGGAGGGATAGATCTTGACAAGGCGCCTGTCCTAGCTGGCGTGATCGACCAGATGACCGGCCTGGTTGGCAAGCGGCCTGACTGCGTGCACGTAACGACGCGGGAGGGCGGTCAAATCCACACGTCGCATTCGGACAAGATGAAGTTCGATGTACGCAGCACCGTCCACCTTGGCGCAGACGTCCTCCTCAGCGGGCAAGTAGACTCCACCAAGTCAACAGGGGACTTCGTCCTCAGCAGCGGCGGCCTGTCGCAGCCCCTACAACTTCGGATGCGGAGTGGGGACGCGTACATCGCCACCGCCGAGGTCCTTCACGCCCCCTTCTTGCACGGAATCAGGCCCCCCGACCAAGCAAGCCTGTCGATTGTTTGCACGTGGTCTCCGGGACGTGGCGTTTTCAACCTCTTCCAGAGGAAGTCCCGCCCCCTGATCGAGACCTTCTCCTCACTCTGTGGAGTGAAGGCCGTGGGCGGCGATGTAGCCTTTGAGGTCACGACGACGGAGCGCGTTCCGCCGAGGAAGGTCGAGGCACGGATCCGGCGGCCGGGGGACTTCACCGGCGGCGTTTCGCTGTTCCAAGCACCCCCCGAGGAGCGGGCGTCCGCCTACCACTGGCTCGGCAAGCTTCGCAGCCCGAACGGAGGTAGGGTCGTTCTTGATTTTACTCGAGTAGAGTACCGAAGCGACGACCAGTTACGAAGACACAATGCTGTTTTCGAAGGAAGTTCTTGCTGTATGGAATGAAATAAATGAATGAACGAGTGAGTGAGTGAAATTGTGCTCGGGTGTTGTCGTGTGTCCTACGTCCGTCCCCCGTTATCCCAGTGCACCCGGCCGTTTGTAGATGCCATGAGTGGTGTACTATCTCGACCCCCCTCCCTCGCGCCTATTTAATTGTCCGTTTCCCTCTTCTTTTTTTTCTTGTCCGTGTTCCGGACACAGCCAACTCGTGCTCCCACGATGACTGTGCCTGCGTCAGTGACGAGGTTGACAAGTGTGTGTGCGAGGGTCACATCCACGACAAGAATGCTACTGTGGCCGGTGAGTGCATGATTTTTTTCGTTTCTAGTTGGTGGACTACTGTATGATACCTCTGTTGTTGTTTTTGTTGTTGCTGTTATTGTTGTTGTTGTTGTTGTTGTTGTTGTTGTTGTCCACATTACAAGCCGCCTCCCTGGCAAAACCTCCTCCTCGCACGTCGGTGCTACAAACGCATGCCTCTAAATACGGAGTCATTTGCTGTATGGAATGAATTATATGAATGAACGAGTGAGTGGGTGAAATTGTGCTTGTGTGTTGTCGTGTGTCCTACGTCCTTGTCCCAGTGCACCCGGCCTTCTCGTTTTTTTCCATGTATGTCTGGTTGGGTGACTACTGTACGATACCTCTGTTGTTGTTGTTGTTGTTGTTGCTTATGCCGCCAAAGCGTGCTATTTGACTTTTGGAATGAAAATTAAGGCGCAGGGGTAGGCGGGCACTCAATACAAGGGCGGACGGGCGTCTTACCAAATATAAGATCCATGCCTGTCGGCTGTTAGTGCCGGGAGGCCACATGCACGGGGTCTTCAGGGATAGAAGCCTCAAAAAGCTGTTGTTATGGTTGTGAGAATCATCCTTTTACATTATGTGCATATATCCTTGCGTTGACATGTGCGTAGTTTTTGTGCAACACAAAGCCCCGATCAAAGAAAAGAATGGCGTTTCTCCCGGGGTGGTAGTCTCAGTCAATAGGACGTGTTTGAACGTTTTGTTTCATACACAAGATATCGTTGAACATCTGCGTGAAAACTGTGTGAAAATTGGAAATTCGGTGAACATTGCGTGAAAACTGTGTGAAAAATGAAATTTTGGTGAACATTGCGTGAAAATTTAGTGTGTGTGTGCGCGCACAACACAAATCCAACGAGTCACAGTCTTTGCACGGTCACTGAGAAAGGAAGGACATCGACGACGAAGATGCTAGTGGATTAATGTCACACCGCCCACTGCCTGTGATCCTCTTCCTTGATCCCTTCTACTTTGACAACCGAGCACTTACGGTTTAAGGCCGGTGAACTCGGACCACCGCGTGCAATTTTTAACCATTCACCCAAATCAAACTCGTGCCCTGTGAAATTTCTTTGACTAATCACGACGTGGAGCGTCTTCAAATCGCTGAATACACGGAATCCGACTTCTTCAGGAAGCACTTTTCTGGCGTACAAATTTACTGATTTACTAAATCGATGGTTTACCCCGGCGAGGAAGGGAAGGAGATACGAACCCTAAACCCCGTGCCGAAGATGGCCTGGCGCCTATAGGTGATCCCTTCAGACCCCATGTACCGCCACCCGTTGCTCCTGCCTGCGACGGGAGCGGCCTGGTCTACCTGCTCCACATAGCACCACCGGTAGCTGGTGGCATGTGGTGATGATACAGCTGCCGTGGTTGCCCGTGCCATTCTCTTTTTTGAAATGAGCCAACATAATTTTTCTCTTTTTTTACACGAAGCGTCAACCACGGTGGTGGCACCGTTGACTGATGACAATAATATGTCTCTCGATTACTCCGTGTGGTGAAGACGCGATTGTATCGTAGAAAATGTCTCTTCTCCTGTGAGCGAAGGATGTAGTTGTGAGCGTGTGGGTGTTTCCTGGAGACGATTGTTTCCCGTCAAGATTTGTCGCAGCTCTCTTTTTTTTTCAAAGACCGTCCGTCCGTCGTGTGGGTGCGGCAAAAAAAATCACAAGAAAAGGGGCGGGGATGGTGGGTTCAATACCACCCAGCCTAAGAGTGGCTCGGAGCAGCCGGTAGGAAATGCGTTCCTCCAGGACACAAGAAAGTGTGGTCGGCGATTTCCCGTGAAAGTCGGGCGTCATCAATCAGACCAATCAGACCAATCAGTCAATCACGGAGAAATTGAATTTTTCGAGTTTCCCCGAAAAGGCGACCTCACAACCGTGGCTGACGTCATCGGTCGACCATGGAATTTTCGTCCACAGGAAATTTCCTTTCAAAAAAATTGACCAATCAGAAAACTGCGGGGACCTTTTCTCTCTCTCTGGATGAAACCGTTTGGTCGAAATGGACCAGCATGATGAACCTCACGAAGTCAACAACGTCTTGGTTTCATTTCAGCTCACACCCAAAGTCGAACCCAACCCAAATTCAAGGGGGCAACGTGAACCTCGCCGCCGCCCCCCGGCAGTGCGAGATCACCAACGGTACCAGGGATGCACCGATCCGCGTCAAGAGAAAAGCACAGCCAAGCCTAAAAGAGCCGAGGCAACAAGTCCCTCATCATGGCTACTTCCTGTGCATCAGGCTGCTGATTTCGCCTGGCACGGCTTGCACTGAAACCTGAAATTTTTAGTGGTTGACAAGCCCGTGCATGTGGCAATATTCTCTCGCACCTTCAAGGCCGTTTCCCGCCATGATTTGCGCAAGCGGGGCAACAAGAACCGGATCCGACCGAACCTCATTGTTGTACCCCGTACTCTGCCGCAGCTCTCCCCCGGGAATTCCGACGGCCTAAAGGTCTCCATCCACCACCACCACTCCATTGGCGTTTAATCATGTTCACTGTAGTATTTTTGACTCCCGTTTGACGCAGGAAACTACTGCATTCAGTTCTTCCAACTCGTCGGTTCCTCTCTTGGTGACTTCCGACACCAAGTGTTGCGCAGATTTCTACATTAGTCCAAACCATGTGCGAGAAGTGTCTGCGAAGGGTGGTGTCTAGCTAGTTGGAGCAGTAACCGAAATCGAGTCTAGCCACTTTCGAACGTTCGCGTTCCGAATCCACACCTCCCCCCCTCTTCCGTCGGGTAAACGCTTCATCTCGTCCCTGAAGTCTACGTAGCCATCCCCATCCCTGGCGTTCTTCCGCCTTCTGCGTTCCTCGTTTTCCATGAAAACCTTCAGCGCTTCGTACGAGGCCCTCGTGTCCCTTTGCAAATCTGCGCCGATGTTGTCCTCACCCGAAACAGCACGGAGCAGCGCCTCCTCGTCGAGAGCGCGGTCGACTAGCTCCTCGACCAACCCATCTTTCACGTCCTTGAGGAAATCAGAGATATCCACGTTCAGTCCTGTCGTTGCGTTCAGTGCCACCTTTGCGGTCACCACGGCCACCTAAAGGAAGAGGGCGCACAAACAAAACCGACGACAAATAAAATACTTTATACCACAGCTCATGATCACTCGCATGTCAAGGCATTACCCAAGCCACCTAGCCCAATGCTTGACGCCTTGCAAATGGTAACCCGTGTTGCATTGCGAGAGGTGTCCATTCGGAATGCGACCTCCTCCAAAACAGGAGGGTATCAGGAAGCGTAGAACCTCACCGTAAACCCCACCTACAAATAGTGTCACCAACTCCCACCGGCTTCTTACAAATTCTCGTCTTACCTGCAGCACAGGAGATATTTTCTTCACCCAGCCACGCGTTTCCTGAAATCGATAACCGTCACCACCATAGCCGCACGGCACCTTTGTCATGTCGACCGGGCACAAGAAATGAAGTGTCATGTCCTTCTTTCCCAAGCCACGAAGTATGCTCGGAAGACATCTCTTCCACCCAGTTGCCCTCGAAGATCTGCCATCAATTCCAGCCTCCTTGACGACGACAAGGCGAGGGTAAAGGTAGTTCGGGGCCTGCAATTCTCTGAGGCGCATCACGCTTTCCTGGGTGCTCGCTAGCACCTTGTCCAGCCTTCCCGTCATCATGCCCAACCCGTCCTTCACCTCTTGCTGCACTTGACGCAATACGGCCTGTGTATCGTCAAACCCTCCCTCCACCTCGTCCTTCACGTCACGTAACTCGGTCTTGGTGTCATTGAACCCTCCCTCCATATCAACCTTCATTTCGTTGAATCCTTCCTTCATCTCACCCTTCACCTCATTGATCGCCCCCTGCACAGCTGTAGCCACGCCGTCGATCTTTCGAATCAACTCGCCCTCCTCCTTAGAGCGATCGTGCTGTTTATAAACATGACGCAGGGACCCGCAGGACGGCCACACTCAGCGGCCAGGCATTTATACATAGCTAAAACAAATGTTCGCCCGGACGAAAAAAACCGCCGCAATCCCGGTTCACAGACAATGCGGAGACACCTTGGAGCCAGGTAGGCTGGCCCAGCGGTTGCAACGTTGAATAGGCTATGTCAGCATTACCTCCAGTGCACCCTTTCCGAACGAGGGCATATTGATAGGCATCACAGAAGTGAAGTTGCACCGCCAGTCCCAACCATACTTCTCGAACGTGATATGTGAGGTGTAGTTCGCATGCCCAGACAACGCGATGAGCGAGGTGCGAAGGAACATGGCAATATCAAGATTGTGCCTCCGATTTTTCCCTCTGCCTCATACAAGACCAAGCTACTGAAGATACAAGCCGCAGAACAAGCCGGATTACGGCACCTGCCGAGGAGGGTCACAGGTGGGTGGGCTTCGAGAGGAATCAACACTGTTGAACATTCAAAGGTGTTTATTTATTCTAGTGTAACATAGTCGCTCGATAATCCAACATCTACGAAATCGATCGCCGCACGCGACGAGCAGCGGCGTCAAACCACGCCAATATCTGCCGTCAAACGGAATAGCCGAAAGGCCACCGGAAGTAAGCCAGAGCTTGATGCTAGCGGGTTCCTCCACTTTGGTCCACAACGGGCACAGTTTGTCCAAGGAAGAACTAAAAAACTGATGGCAGTGTTTCTCTTTCGGATCATATGCATACTCGAACACACGTTGATAAGGCGACACCTCTCGGACTACTTGGGGTTGTGCAATTCTTTACAACCAAACACGTGCAATCCATTCTCACCGTCGGGAGAGTGAAGGAGTACTGACTCTCCAGGTCGTCGAACCTCGCCTTCACCCCGTTGAAAATCACGTCTGTCATGCGAAAATGAGCGGGAGAAGCAGATCAGTACGCCTTGACAGTTATTCCCTTGCTCACGACGAGATGCTCGCAATGCGGATGCCCCCATGGGCGGACCGCGAGAGGGTGACGACAATGGTCGAAACGAGTTCACTCCTCCGTGTTGCCGACACGGCATTACGTACAACGGTGTCGGAAGCACGAAGGGCCTCGACTACGACCCCGTCAGGGCCCGGACATTGCAACAGAACAACCATATCGTGCCTCCAATGCTCTGTGCAATATATCAATAGACCTACGGCTGGACTCACGGGTCAACGACGAGAACAAGTGACGCTGAACTCGGCAAAAGCATACATGTAGCCAACCATTGCAAAAAACAGAGGAATCAATGCACATGTTGATGCGATTAGGAAAAACGAGGGTACGAAAATGATATATATTGCACACGTGAAGGTCGGAGTTGACGCATAAGATTGCGAGACTTCAACAAAGCACGACCAGTAGCCTATCGGCAGTGAGGTTCGTGACATCGCGAGTGGGTCCCGTGGGCTGCAACCAGTTGTCATGTATTGCTCTGACCGTTTGCTGTTGGGCCGCTGTGCTGTATGCATTACAGCGTGGCGGCGCACAGGTAGAACCTAAAGAACGTACTGTTACCTAACCCGGACACTAAGTGAAAGAATGGGAACTCACCAAAACACATGAAACCGAAAATATTCGGTGATCCAGTTAATATTCCGGCATCTAAAACCTTTCACGTCAACGATCAAAGCTGAAAGTGAAATTGGTCAACTTCATCAGATAGGCGGTCGTTCTTCGTTCTTCGCAAATCACCACAAGCAAAATCTCAGGCTACCATGCAAGTCGCCAATAGTAGCACGACTCTACCGAGTAATAAGGGTTTTGTGCGAGCGTGTTTCGTGTGTTTCATGTGCTCGACTGCGATATGGGAACGCTTGCACGTCTGTTGCAGCAGCACAAAGGTATTATTCAAATAGTAACGGTTCGCTCTGTGTGATTTGTTCAGTATCGCAGAGGGCGATCATATTGCACAGGGTCACAGTAGTAAGAAAACCCACGAGTACCTGAAGCGATCTCGCTCAACATGGCACAAATGGGAGCTATCGCACAGGGGAGTGCGTGAGGCTAGCAGATTCGAACGATTCAATCCAATTGCCGCTGGGGTGGCCGCGATCGCACAAGTGGCAGCCATCGCACGGGGGGTCGAAAAGCAAGTCGGACACTTCTGCGCTCACTCACGCTTGTACGATCTTTCCATTAGTCGTGCATACCTCGGTTCAGTCGGATGTCGACCAAACGCACAAGATCGATTGCCGCTTCCCCAAGCCCGCCGGTGTCTTCACTGCAGTGTGGGCATCTACTGCCTTCCAGAAGTTTGTCTCCATCGCTCCTCGCCTGACAAGTGGGATGCGACACGTTCCCGTCAATGTAGATGGTTTTATGAATTGAGCTCGCACTTCGACCCAAGGATCGCCTCAAACACTTACATGTCATATCTATTAGCTGTTTTGAATGCAAAGTGAAACACCGGACGTGAGGCACAGAAGCAGCAAAAACACTAAAGCCTTACATGTGTCAAACACCTCCGCATTTGCCGACGCACTCGTACACACCCATCGAACAAAAAAACAACAGTGAAATTGAAAGCCATTTTCCATGCAGCTATGTGCCGCTGCTTACGCATCGCCGCGTTTCTGCAGACATTCAAATGGCAAAGAGAGACAGACGGTCAGCAAAGTACTAGAGACTGACAATACAGAGCCTTGGCGAAATGACACTACTCCACTCTGCCGATGTGTTCCACTAGTGCAGCCTCCCATGCTCCTAGTTCTCGAAGAGATCCACCTACGTAGAGGGATTCTTGGAAACGGCGCTACAGAGAGGAAAATGCTCTAGACATTTTACTCCCGCATTGTAAAGAGCGCCATGATGGGAAATGGACGCAAGATACCAATGTCGATTGCACGAATAGACAACAGCAAACCCGCACGGGATCGACTGGGGCGATTCGATCGACCAGACATGTACCCCCCATTGGTCAATACGCGTGTTGAGGGCTTACCATATTCACAAAGGGCATCGCGTCACCATGCTGAGGACACTTCAGCGAGCCTTTCCAGCGCAGCCCGGGAAAATCCACCAGCATCAGTCTCACGGCCGACATGACGTATGACAGGGCCACCCACGCAGCTGGCGTGCTGATACCGCCGAATATCTGAGCAGTAAGCTCGTTGCCAGCGGATGAGTATTCTAATACCACAGCAAACGTGCTACGCCCATCTTGGACGCCGAGGCCGCCATGCACAAGCACCCCATACCGCCAGAATGTTCGCACCCGACCAAGACCGCAGCACCGTGTCAACACCTTTTCAATCGCTCCAGGCGGTACACCGAGGAAGATCTTCCAACTCGCGCTGAATGCTGGGGTGAGCCCCGAGCAGAAGGTCTCGATCACTTTGCCGACACTCCCGGGGCGGGTTGGCTTTAGCCTCAACAGCACTACCAGGCCTTCAGCAGGATCATTTTCGAGTGGGAAAGTGAGACCCAAGGATGCTAGAGTCGGCAGCACATACTCGGACAGACCATCCGGCCACATGGCATACGCCAACCTGGGTTCAAGCACGCCCTCCCTCTTGAGCCTGTCCCACGAAGCGATGTCTAACGGATCGTCGAGGGTGATGCGCGCGTCGCCCGTGTCCCCAAGATTCACACAGCCGTCAAAGTTCTCTTGGTCCTTGTGATTGAGCAAGGGCTTGAGTATTCTCGCCAGCCAAACGACGTCCAGAAAGACAAATTTATCGCGGCGAACGAGTGATCCGTCGAACTCCCTGCATGCACGATTATGTCAAGCCAAGCCGAGAAGTTTGGGAATCCGCCCAGAGCGAGTTCACAAGCAATGAGGAGCGGTTACGCAAGCGGCGTCGCCACCTATTTTCCGCAATGGGACCAACACAAATATTGGTTGCGAGCCATATAGAGCAGGTGCACAGCGGACAGCGATATTGTACCTACTGTTGGCTGCAGGCCCAACCGTGTGACCAAACCGGTGGCTCTATGTCGGACTGCCAATTTGGATACATTGTACCTGATGGAGAGAGCTCCCTCCAAAGCATTCTTGGCGTTTGTGACGGTGATTCCTCTTCGCTCAAGCTCATCCACTGTTCCTTGCCATTTAGTGCCCAGCTCCTCGACCGTGATCCCCTGATACACGTCTGTCTTGCCCTCTGCCGTCTTCGTCGCGTTTCCTCTGTCAGGGTCAAGAGACTTGTGCAATACCACCTCCACCGGATCTCTGGGTGGGCAACGTCCAAACACAACCAGGGTCAAGCGTCATTCATATATCCCGACCACGCAAGTCGCCGGTGCCTGTTGCGTGCCAGTGTTCAACAATGCCATCCAAGTAGCTGCACGATGAGGGCTACTGGTGCAACCAAGCAAAACCAACGTGACCAGAGAGGCGACTCGCTCACAACTCAATCACATGTCGCACAACCGAAAGATCGAATCCGTCGGGGTTGGGCAGGAGGTGAATAGCTAGCGATTGCCAGTTTTCCCACCGCTCCACCTGGTGGTCACATACCTGTTTATACTTGACTGAGCTTGCGAGACGGAACCGAGACGGAACGATCGGTGCTACTTAGCCCCATCAACCAATATTCTGCGGAATTTTTCGTTCCTGCGAGTGGCGAGGCTAATTGGGGCTTGGGACCATGGAACTATGTTTCGTCACCATGACGAGCACCAAGGAGCATGTACTGAGTAGAAGCCAGACCAGGTATTCAAGGTTAACAAACAACAACCAAAATCGCCAACAACAACAACAACAACGAACACGAGAGGTTAACGGGCTGCTACACCCCGCAAGCTCAAGGTTTTTTGTAGTCAGCCTCTCGTGCAGAACGAAAGACAGAAGCGTAGATCGTATTCCAGTTCTTCGGTGTTCAATAGCGGCATACAGCATCTGTGTACACAATCTAGGTTAATGGCGTGCCTGCACGAGTTCCAAGTTGCGGTGCTGTGGTGCGACAAGCCTCCAACAATCAAGAGCTTCATGGATTGTTTCGCGGTGGTGAGCAAGCCAAAGCGTGTTTACGAACGTCGCGCACCCCATCGTATTGATCGTTTTTCGCGGGTGTTTCAAAGTGGACTTTGGCAAAATCTCCTACACATGGGGGTTCAACCCTATCGTAGGAAATGGAGAAAGTTGTACTGTACGTGTCCAGATTACCCTCGGCGTCGACGTACCAATGCATCCAAACTCGTTGTAGAGCCCAAGCATAAAGCCATCATCAAGCTCACCGTCCGTGCTCGAGAGCTTCCAGAACAGTGAGGGCAATATCCCAGCTGCGAGGAAGCACCATCTGAGTTCCGCGGAGACCCCTTCCGTCAGGCTTGTTGACGAGCCGGTGAAGAAAGCTGGGCGAGGGCTGGTCGTCTTCCACGTTTCGCCAGTCGCACGCCCAAGCCCCCGTCGACACATGGTTCCCAGCGCTTCTCTCGCCATGCTCATCAACTCTTACCGGGAAGCAGCTCGTGAGGCAAACGTTGGGCTCCAACCGAACGGGCTGCATACCATTGCGAACCCAGCCCGACAGCCACGTCCGACAGGACTTCTCCATTCTTTGGCCAATTTCCCGTGCGTTCCCGCCCGCCAAGTCACACTTGGTGGCGACGAGAACGACGCTGCTCTCGGGAACGCGCCGAGATATCGATCGCAGCCAATCGCATACGCGTAATTCTTCCAGCTTGCGGCAGTCCTTCTCAACCCCACCACAATGTGCGCTATCTCGCCGCTGTCCGAACTCCGCCGCGTTGCACACGAGCACGCAAAGCGACCGTGGCGTCAGAAACACCTGCAGCAGCCCCGTGTAGGCGACCTGCTGAACGCGCGCAATGTGATGTAAACATTAAATATCATCGACCTCTGGCCTCTCATCCTCGGGGAACGTAGCTAGCCCAAATCTTAACGACACAATCCCTCATTGACCTATTCAAGGCACCCCGAGACCCGAGCCACCTCCGAATTGAGAAGGCAACGCGCTGTAGATACTCCACACTAGAGCGGGGGGCGAAGATTCAATTGGGCGCACTCAAGCAAACACTTCCGATATGGACCATGCACCAAGCACTACCTCAATTCCTTCACACGCAAAGTGGCATTTTCAAGCTTGGGTTTCGTAAGCATCGTGTTGAAAACCTGCGGGAAATCAACACCCCGCAGATACATAACACTACGCAGTGCAAAGTATAAATCACACAGCCGCGGCATCGTACCCCCTACCGCAACAACACGTTCGTGTCAACTGTGCCGCGGCAGCAACCCCCACCTAGACGACTTGCAACAACAAAGCCGTGGGTTCTCTCCAACAAGACACCCTTTACAAATGAGCCGTGGGTTTCCATTGACTTAACCCTTACTTGACTACAGGCCGATTCAGCTCCGTTCTCAGCTCCGATCACATTGCGTGCCGAAAGATCGTCAATATGCCTCGTCTACTGCCTACCGGTACTGTACGATTCAAACGCAAAATACCACCGGAGGGTACAAGCAGCACCCTGAACATGTGATCGACCCCGTGCCGCATCCGCGGGGGAGAGCAGAGAAAGCACACACCGGAGCCGATGCCAACGTACTGCCTGGGTGCTTGATGTTGTGGTTGCGGTGCGTGTGGTTCCCAGTGTTGGGAGCGAAGGGTGGTTCGTCTGCTGTGTGCAGAATTTCGCTCGAAGGCAAGGGTTTTCGGGACTACAGCTCCGATCACAGCTCTCTATTTTTTGTACAGAACAGTAAAATTTATCACGGTTTTTATGCATTTTGTGCGATAGTGGATGATGGTCTCGATTCTCTGATGAGCGGGCCGTTTATTTCGGATCTGGCGCTTCTGTGAGGCGGTTTCCCGTCAGCGTCTTCAAATCTAGCGCCGCCAGCATATGCGCCTGCCGTATGCTCTGTCCAAGGATGAGGTGGAGAAGATGTGCCAACGGGTATTGCTTGCACAGGTGCACNGCATTTTGTGCGATAGTGGATGATGGTCTCGATTCTCTGATGAGCGGGCCGTTTATTTCGGATCTGGCGCTTCTGTGAGGCGGTTTCCCGTCAGCGTCTTCAAATCTAGCGCCGCCAGCATATGCGCCTGCCGTATGCTCTGTCCAAGGATGAGGTGGAGAAGATGTGCCAACGGGTATTGCTTGCACAGGTGCACCCTCTGTGCGGACGGTTGCTGTCGGAGACAGGCATGCACACCTGCTCAGAAACTGCTGCTGCTGTACAGTGTATTTCTCTCCGCAAAGCTGCTACTACTGCCGTCCAGCAGTAGTACACTGTACTCCTGTTTGTCACCCATACATATACCGCGTCCCCATCCCTGTGAGCCCTACACATGGACCCACTGCTGCACCATCCTTGCCGCCGTGATTTATGGGTGTACACGAATGCGTGGAAGATCTTTGACCGCAGAGAGCCGAATGTGGGGGAAAAAACAATAAAAATCAAATAATTCCATTCACGTAAGGACCAAAGGGCTGAAGGTTAATGATTCGGATGCTGGGTCTTTTCTCATACTTAAAAATACAGAAAAAAAACAACCTTCTCCCGCCGTAGGAACCTGGTACTTAATATAAATGCCAGTAAAGGACACCATGAAGGGCGTCGTGCATGCCGGCACGTTCAGGTATGCTACTGGAGCTGAAATATCGAAGGTCGTAGCAGCCTCTGATAAGAGTCCGACATCTGCGCCAGAAACCACGCGGAATCCAACATTTGTCACAACCTTGCTCACCGCCATGGACCGTAAACACCTGAACGGAGGCTTGTCAGCAGTAGCTAATGGCATCACCTACTGCTGTTAACCCGCAGTACAAGAGATTGGGGTCGGTGGCGGCGAGCACAAGCGTACAAGACCCTGGATGTCGGTCAATTTCCGGAGATTTCGGATATTGTAGGCCACTACGACCCTGGATACCACCACCACAGAAGCAGATTTGAGCGCGTCCACACACACACACCGTCCGCTGCTATACGGTGTCCTCTAGTGATGGTAGTACTATGCACCAAGTTCCTAGCAACATCGACAATATTTGAGCGCCTGCCGTTTTGGCTCTCCTGGCTCATTTAGAATGGTGCGATTATTTATTTTGACTTCAAAGGAGGCGTGTGGAGGTAGACGCGTGAAATGTATGTTTTGAGCAGCCTTGCCGCCCTGTGCGAGAATCAACGATTTCTGTTTTTCGCGGTGCCTTCCGACTGGTCTTGTGTGTCTGTTGTGCATTTTCTGGTGTTCTTCCGTTTGTTTTATGAATTCGTCAACATCGAAATTCTTTGTCTGCCATTCCTTAAGGGTACCCGGAAGGATGCACAAAAAGCAAAGAGTTTGGATTCAATTTGTTCGGGATCAGCCAAAGTAACGCGCCCAAACGGTGTCGGCGGTCTGCCGTTTCCCCCGACTTGAGGCCAAACGCCTTGAACAAACTCGGCGCACGTGCCCCGATGAGCACAACATTCGTAACAGCCACGCGACCCCCAAGCACTCGACACCCGTGCTATCCCCCACCTGGGTGATGCATGTCGGAGGCCTGTGGTGAAGCAAGTCCTGTAGTGTATGCTATGATATACCAGGTACATGAACTTGTTCGGTGTCGCGTGAGACAACTCTGCATGGGCAGGACAAGCTGAAAAGCATTTGGAGATATTGAGTGCAGGATTTCGCCTCTTCTGGCAATACTTCCTCCACGATGTCGTTAAAGTATTACTCGCATGTATGGCGGACAGTGAATGCTCCAGGGGGACGGTCTCACGCAACACCTCCGCCAAGCACCAATCCTCAATGCTTCGGAATGAACAATACTTTTGTCACCTGTCCAGCGCAGTCGTACACCCGAATGGATGAGCCTTGTAGCTCCATGGCTTCCACGTCCGCAAACACCGTGCTCTCCTCTTTCCACTCGCCCGTGGGGGATGCTTTGTTGGCCTTCATGCTTTTGCGCAAGCTGCCACAAATAAGAGACGAGTTTCCGACAAGTACGCAACACGAATGAAGGAGGGACATAGGAACAAGGTCGTCGGGGTGCAACAAGGTTGAAGTCACCGTCGTTGATTTGCGGCAGCCTAAACCCGGAAGCATGCTGATGCGAGGGAAGACCAGACAGAGTAGGGTTGATCTTGTCCGCTGATAACCATTCGTCTACACCGCGACTTTCGACACCATGATTTCGGCAGAAATATGCGTACGGTACACAGAACCCCCCCGCGGAGTGGGTAATGGATGGGCTTGGAACACAGGGGGCGATGCAAGAGGAAGGAAAAACCTTAGACAATGTGAAGTAAAAATTCATGTAGGGGTACAGCGCGGTGTGGGCAGGTTTGGTGTGAGCATCCTGGTGACAAAGCAGAGCAATCAAAACCATATGCTTGGAAAAGAAAAAAAAGGCAACAATCAGCTACGAGCATAACATGTCGTCGCCGCCGGCATTGTGCCCACCTGGTTTTTCCAGCGCCTTCTTGCCCGACAAGAATGATCTTAACGCTGTTGCGCTGGATCCGACAAGGTTCAGCATACAGGTCCTCGAAATATCCTCTGATGCCCGCCGCGCCTTTCATCACGATCGACTCTGGCGGCTCGGTCCACGGGTTTCCGTCCAAGTGCAACGAAGTACAACGGTCCAATACGTCCAGCAACTGGCGCAGATGCCTAGGAACTGCCCCTCCTACCAGTGCAACGTGGAGAACGTCAATTTGAACAGATGGTTACAACGTTGGAGCCATCGGTGAGAGGTCGAATGTTCAAGGTCTGACAACCCTACCCTTCCCGCGATACATGCAGCAACCTGTTCGGTTTTCTCGTCTGGTGGAAGATACAACGCGTGACCAAGTCCGTTGATGCCGCAAGAGCTAGCGAAAAATACAGCGTGTGCGGAACAAAGCCGTGTTGCCCCTTCACCAAGCGCGTACGAAAGGCAGAAGTTCCCAAGACATTGATTTTATTGCAACTCAATATACTAGTATTGAGGAGAACGCAGGATACGGAGGGTTGAGAATATAGTACTGGCAACTTGATGGGAAAACACCAACTGCTCGTCAGAAGCAGTAGTTTATCTCCGGCCACCAACATACATCACTGTACACCTCGACCGAGCCAAGGATGGCTTCTTGAAAGCTGGACATGACATGCAACATTGCTCAATCTACGCCGGCGACAGACAGATCACACATCGTAGACCACCTCTGTGCGTATAACATTGTGCGAATACCTGACTTGCTGTTGGCTCCCTCCTCATTGCCGACACCATGAGCGTCTTGGGTGTGGTCCCAGAGAGCTGTCGATGGCACGGAGACCACAGACATGATACGAAGACGCCGGGGTCAATCTATGAAAGGTCGGCAAATCATGGGTTCTGTTCGAGAACACCAGAGCTATTTGAGATGTTCACAAAGAAGAACGTCCCATGGAAATCGAAGGCGGCATTGGCATGGATATTCGGGGAACATTGATGCTAGGGATTTGCTATCTTTCACACTTCCGCATGCTTTGCTTCGTTACACATGTATGCATGCACGGCCATACGCGGGTACGAAATTTCGAAATTTGGGAACTCGCGGGATATCTTTGCTACGCGTGTGTTCTCGAAAGCCGGGGCATTTCAATTTGTTTTCTCCCGCTACACTCTCTTCCGATTGCAGGTTCCATCCCGCCGGAGCTTGGAGAGCTCGCCGCACTGCAGTTCCTCGACCTCTCGCTCAACAGGCTAACCGGTGAGTTTGTTCAGCAGTTCATGTTTGAAGCATGAATCCCGCGCACGCCGTACACGGGACACATGCGATTGGATGACGGTTCCACGACCGATTTTGCGGCGAGTCCCGTGTACGAATCTCGCTGATGCACGTGAGTAGATCTATGGACGCGGACGGCCTACGCGTCCACGAAACTTCTGAACTAGCGGGATAACGTTTATGCCGCCAAGTACATATGCGGCATTCATGCTCAATTTCATGCCTCACCGGATAGCTGGTTGCCCCCTAGTGCGAGCACCACCAGCGCTGTTAGCTTGCCCAGCTCCTGTGGGATAGGCCCTGCAAACAGACAAGCAAAGCAAATACTCCATTATTTTGGGGGGGGGACTACCAAAAAGTTTTATGTTCGATCTCCGTAGATCTATGGACGCG